AAAGATTTATGGGGTAGATTGGAGAGGTTGTAACTTTTTATCTTGTGAAAAATAATCTATCAAATTTTATAATTCTACTGCATAGTATTTGTTAGTTCAATGACTATAATTGAAATTCGCAGGGCTAACACTGCATATCAATTTGGTAACTTTGTTGCTTTGGCATTCATATTGAGCAATGTAGTGACAAAATAGTCTCTTTGACTTTGGAACAATAAATTAAAAGTGTAGTGAAATTCGTCCGCAAAATAAAAAAATTGTAATTCACTTTGATGTATTATTGAAAGAAAGTGTCTTTTCTAAGTAGGCTGACATTTCCTTGATGGAAGAAAAGGCCAAACAATTATTAGCTATAACGAAACTATAACTAATAAATCATTAATAGATGCAATCATTGATATGAAAAGAAGACTGACAAAAATGCAGGGCACATGTTGACTGCATGACTTCTTCCAAACAAGGACTATCAAAAACCAAATTACTGTCGAAATGTGAAGGCACTTTAGTTTTAAAGCCACCCAGAATCTACATAACAGGTTATGCACTTTAAACAGATAGCTGCAAGATATTGCTAGATTCACTTAAGCCAAGTAGATCTGCTTAACTATAGAGTTGATCGTCTTGGAAAGTAGACCTACATATAATTGGGCCACTTGTTCTAGACTTCACTAGTCAAGTTGCATGATGCATGGGTCGACTGCCCCTTCATCCTCTTTGGTCTACAGTGTCTACAGCGCTATATCACCACATGTAAATGAAACAGCAATCAGTACTCTAATAAAAAGAACTAGCACACATGGTGGAACTGCTACAAAATGATTTATAATCCTCTATCACATCCTAACGAAACGTATACTTCATCCAACAGAAAAAAGAAAAAGAACACAAATTGTAGGTGACATTATCACAAATAGAGGTTCAGTTCTTATTTCTGCTGGGACTGCCCTACTCTGGAGGGCACAAAAACTTACTTCACAGTGTTCCCATGGCAATGAACACCTTGGAAAAATTCAAGTTAATGCATCTAGCTAGACGGCTATGACCAAATGCATCAATAGTCCAACCCAACAAAGGGTGAACCAGGATTGTAAAAGTATGACTCCGCTGCTTGACATATTTTTTATGCCATTTTTGGTTAGGGAGACACAAGAACGGAGGCGTAATTTTATGATACTTAGATTACAGGTACCGCCTATAAGAATAGCAACGTTATAACACTAAAATCTGTTACCTCTATGAGAGTTCAAGTTAAATATGAAGTGTTGAAAAGCAAAAACTTACTTGTAGGATATACTCATGCTAGGATAGCCAGAAATGTCCGGTACCACCTTAAACTTGACAACTTTTGTTTAGTTCCCCTCCCTTAAATTCGTGTGGTCTTTAATACCCCTGAACTTGGAAATTTGATAGTCTTGAACCCCTAGATGCTGATGTAGCAAAGAGTGGGGTATTACTATTGTTTAAATGTTAATGTGGCCGGAGGTTACGGGTTCAAGCCGTGGAAACAGCCTCTTGCAGCACCTCTATGATAATTGAAAAAATCGTTGATAACTTGATTGAGGATGAAGTTTTTATTGATAACTATTCTGATTATAAAAATGAAACATGGTCAGAGTTTAATAAACTCAAAGGTTTGATTAAACCCAATAGTAAATATGCTGACAAACCCAGAATGCAAACTTACTATTATTCCCCTCCTACTCCATTTTCAACAACCATAGTTCCTATTGCTCAATAAGTTGTCAACCTAAATTTGGTTCCAACCTTATCAACAACCATAGAATTACACAAACAAACTGAGGATTGGTTTCATAGATTCAGTCCGAGCCCAAAGTGAAATCAGGAGAAGAAGCTCTCAGCTTAAGAACACAAAATCTCACAAGTCATCACTCTTAAGAAAAAGAGTTACATTAAAAGCTGAATCAAGGAAAAAGATTTAAATAGCAGTATTCTCTTTAGTTGATAACACAAACTACATCATAAACCAGTTTCATAACACGTTCTAAGCATCAAAAACATGCACGCTTAATACAACAAGAAAAGGATGTCATAGACTTTTTTAAATTGGGTTGAGAAAACTTAGATTTAAAAGAGAACAATACTCAACACTTATACAACCACATACTATACATGAAGATGTGAGCAGAAAGTTTTACAAGGATGCAATAGACTTTAATGGGTACTGATTTTATGTTCATCTTTCCCCAACTCATTTTCACGAATCTGTTATGTTCAATATGTTCCGCCTTCGCCTCAAAAGGTTGAGAGCAATCAACCAACAAAAACAAATTAAGCTCCTTGCTAGACCCAAAAGTTGCGACCTTGTAAAAAACAACTTACACTTGCTAATTCACAGGGACACAACAGCTAAAATTCTGGTTCTCTATGGTAGGACTATTTATCTATCTTAGTAAGCTCATAAGTTGCTCGGACTCGGGTGCGAGTATCCAATACGAGTGCAAATCAAGAGGCTAGATCCTTCAAATCTAAATTTTGAGATACGAATACAGGTACGAAGATTCGACTACATCTAAAAATACAGCTCTACAGATTTGCCTACATTACGAGACTTTATGTGGAAAGCTTACATGTAGCTTGTAGAATGTAGTAACTCAATCATGCATGCTCAAGTTGTAGGTAGCCATCTAGAAAATGTAGAGTAGTTTTTGTCTTGATAAATCAAAAAGTCCAAAATCTTATCTCTAATTTCTCCGTAGTTTGTTGACCGGATTTATATGTATCCCACGCCCATACTAGTGTTGGCGTCGGGCCGACACACGTGAAGCACCACAAATGAAGAGTAACTTAGGTAAGTCCCCTCCATTCCTTTTATGTCTTCAATTTTGACCATCAAATAGCTTAACAAAATAGTTTTGTGCTATAATAGTATAAACTTATCAAATCAGGTGTTGGAGTGTGTTACTATCAAAAGTATCTACTATTCGAAGATTAATCTCATCCAGCATTTTTAGAGGTGAGAAATGCAAAAAAACCAACAACAAGGTGAAAACAGAGATTACTTGATCCTAAAGTCGCGCACTCATAGCAAATAAAACTGCATACTCTACAAACCCTTTACAATTTAGGGAAAGGTGAATCATAGAGACAAGAGTTAAAATGAATGAAAAATGGAAGAGGGATTAATTTCTCGGAAGGAAGAAAAATACAAACAGAGCTCAAGAGTTGTGGCAAGCAAAGATAGAACTTTCAACTAGGCCAAATTGGATGACGGATTTATGCACATCATATAATTAAATAAAAGAGGTAAGGAATAAATGACAGATTGCACTCACATTGCCACCATCCCATCAAGAGGAACGAAATAAGGATCAACAGATAGAGTTTGGCATGCCCCTACTGACACATATAAAGTGTCTGTTGTTCTGTAGACAGAAAGGGAAGCCACCCCCCAATTTTCCCCAAAGATAAAAGAGCAATCACCAGGTAAAGATGTACTAGTACAGCGTCAACCAAAACTGGGAAACTGGNGAATTCTTTCCCCTTCCCTTCCCCAACTTGTTGATCTAAATAAATCCTGTTTAAGACTTGTTGATCTAAACCATTTTTGGTTGGAAAAATCATATCCATACAAGTAGTTCAGGTCATTGGTCAACCAATACAATGTTGAGTTGCTTACAAGCGGGGGTGCAGTGGTGATCGCATAGGCTAGTATCTCAAGGTCACCCTCATACACTTCAAACTAATTGGGCAAAGAGTTGCTGAAATTAAAGTTGGGATGAACTTCAACTTTGAAACCATCTAGATTGAGTTTGTAAAATAGTAAATTTGCTCTTGCCCCGAATGAGCAACATTAAACTGTTCACATCATTTTCCTCTTTCATGACGGCAGTAGTTTTACGACTAAATATAGGAGCAAAATCCTGGACATTTCAATGCCAACAGGTTCCAGCTTTTGGTGTCAATGTTCGTCAAGCTTCGCCGCAGTGCCTCCTTTCGTAGTTGCTCGGCCATATCTGGAAATTTTGTGCCCCCCGACAAATAGATCGTACTCTACGAGGGAAGGGCACAGGGTTTCGTTTCTGTGAAGTTCCTTGGAATCGAGATACGGCACTCCCAGAATTCGGCGTGGGCGCTTCTGATGTTGTCGCTCTATTACAACTTCATTAGGTATTCCAACTCTTTCAAGCGAGGGATTTCAGTGATTCGCTCAGCCCAGTAGATGTGGCCATCCACAAGGGCCCAGCCTCCTCCGGCTTTCGACTCCTTGAGCAACAGCGGAGAAAAGTACATCGGAATTGCAATTTAATTTTCTATATCAATACATATACCACAAATGCTTCTTACAACTGTAACCGTGGACATATATTCTTGTCGTCGTCGGGTTGCCATTGAAATTGGATACAAAAAAATACTCCTCTGTCCGTTCAATTGCAAAGAAAATTGAACGGGTCACTCTTAGGTGCTGGGTTTTCAAATGTCCGGATTTCTCCGTCTTTAGAAAATTAGGGGTGGGGCGTGCGAATAGCAAACAAACTACTTAGGCAGAGGACAAATTTACATAATAATGCGCGGATTAAATTTCAAAAATAGTCAGATTTACCACTGGTACGTTGAAAAATAGTCAAGTTTCAAAATTTATCGAAATTTAGCCACTTTAAATCTGAGCGAAAACACTATTCAAAATCCGGAAAAATACGCCCGCAAATTTTACGGGAGTTCCAGCATAAGTATGCTTGAACTCCCGTAAATTTTACGGGAGTTCCAGGATAACTATGCTGGAACTCCCGCAAATTTTACGGGAGTTCAAGCATAATTATGCTGGAACTCCCGCAAATTTTACGTGAGTTCCAGCAAGTATAATTGTCCAGTATAATATACTGGAGTTTGGAGCACTGGTGCTCCAGTCTCCCGCAAATTTTACAGGAGTTAGCAAAGTATACCGGTCCAGCATAATATGTTGTTCGTACACAAATGCACCAGAACTCCCGTATATTATACTGGACCGGTCCCTGTTGCAGCAAAATAGTGGCTATTTTTCATTGACTTGGTAAACGCTGGCTATTTTTCATTGACCAGTGTGAAAACTGGCTATACCATGATATTTTAACTTCATAAGTTGACCTTGCATTATTTTAGCCCACTTACAAGTTTACAAATGTGTAGCCAAATATCAATAAGCTTAGATCTGAATTTTTTTTTTTTTCCAGTTTTTTTATTCTCTATATCTTCAAGCGTGAAATATTTTCATTCTCCTTTTTCCTCAAGTTTCTACATACCTATCACAACTATGAAAATTCACAAACAGACGCGAGAAATCTAAAATCTCATCTTCTTTAATGCTAATCTTATTAGTTTTTTAATATGATTTTATGAGAAATTTAGAGTGGGTATTGTTTGAACTTATTAAAATTAGTCTAAGTAGATTGTGTACAAAGTTTGAAGTCATTTAGTGGAGATTTGGAATAGTCTTAATCAGGAATTGCAAATGAAAATCGTACAAAAAATTCGTCAGAGATGCTTATACACTTTTATACAATATTATACACTTTTATACAAAAAGGTATATTATATATATAGTTGTATAAAAGTGCACAAAAATGTATATACAAAAATGTATAAGCACAGTAGTGAAAATGTTAGTGATACACCATGTATATAGGTATAGCAGAAGAAGACGAAGAAGAATGTATAAGATAATGTATAAGATGTGTTTGAATTACCTTTTAGACCTTCGACCGAGGAACAAAGCAAAGTGGAAACATAATCAAATTGTGTGCCAGAATTGTTACAAAATAGTTCAGTATATACCTCAAATTAAACGTTCCAACTAAGCTCCCTAAGCTTTTCTTCTTCTTTGGCAGAGGAACAATAAAATCCTATTGCAAGAAAAATGAATAAATTAGTGGGAGTAACAGGAGGAAAATTAAAAGAAATAGTTAATAAGTCAAACTTACCCATTTCCTTCTTAATATAATGCATGACACTGGAAATAAAAAGGGAAATAAAAAGAAATTTAGAAATAAAGAGAAATTCAGAAACAAGAGAAATTCAGAAAACATGTAAGCTAGAAATCATACCTTATGTACTCACTATCCTTCTTGGCTTTGATTTTCTGAGCTGTATTATCATTCTTCTTGACTTGAGCGCATTCCAAATTTATGAGTTGGCTTTTGAAAGGTGTTAACAAAATATTTAGTGCATTGGTTCCCGTAGCCAACTCATAATATGAGTCGGCTATAATGTTTGGGAATTCTGCCTCTAGCTCCCTCATGCTTCCCTCAGCAAATTGATAGTGAGCCAAAAAGTTTCTCCCAAAAAAGACAATTCCACATTCGGTTTCATACGAATCAGCTATGGTAGCTGGAGAATAATAATAGCACTCCTTGAATTTTGGGTGGTGGGCATGATCGATTTTCTTTCTCCAACCTTCTGGAATATACTGATCCATGTAATGATCCATGTTGAAGATATTAGAATTAATTCTATAAGCATCATACAATCTAAGTGCAAATGCAAGTGTGTCCAGAATATGGCTTTTGTTTTATTGCTCCAGAAGAGGGGATAATCATACAACCATTCATAATACTCAATCAGTGTTCTGTAAACAAAAAAACAAAAGACATGAGTCAATTAGGCATAAGAATACTCTGTAAAAAAAACAAAGACATGAATAGAATAACAAAAAAAAAAAACAAATTTGTCAAATAGGCATAAGAATACTCTGTAAAAAAAACAAAGACATGAATAGAATAACAAAAAAAACAAATTTCTTACTTTTCATCTGAAAATTCTAATAATGGCATGTAGTTGGCCAACATCTCGCCAAATCGTGAGACGAGAGGAGGCAACTTGTGAGGTTTGTCAGGATGATCGTCAATAATTGATGTGATAACTAACCAAAAGGAATTTAAATCCTTTCGTATATGTTCTGTCACATGGATAATACCATCAAATTTGAGATGAAAGAGAACTGGAGTCCCATCCGCTCGGTATGCAATCCCTCTCTGTACATTTCCGTGATAATTTCCACAATCATGTATGGCCTTGATGGCCGAAAATAACTGCTTCAATTTTTCGGTATAGTAATCATTAAAGGATATATGTATATCCTGATGCTTCTTCCACAATGGAAGCCTAATGGGCTTGTTAGGGTCCAACTCGTATAACTGTTCCACAAATATGACACCAAATCCCTTGAATTTGGTGTATCCTAAAGGAACAGCAATATTAAAACTCTTTTGGAGAACCTCTAAAATAATAGGATAAACTGATTCTGCTTCCTCAAATGAATCATAAAAGGTAGCGGCACATGTAATAAAATTTGTGGCTTTTTTTATCGGGCTTAAATTTTGCACTGCACCACGGAATAGTCAGCTTGCGAACATTACCTTGCACTGTGTAAAATTGAACAGGTATTTGAAATACATAACATCCATACCCATCATCAGGTTTACTGCAAACAAAAAAAAACAAATTAGTACCAAAACTAAATTAGAAAATGTAGGTAGAAAATGTTGGTATGAAAATGTGATAAATCCACTTACTCCCATTTGGGTTCGAACAGGGAAGAGGAAGAAGCGGAAGAGGAAGAAGGGCCAGAGGAAGAGGAAGAAGGGTGAGGTGGAAATTTGTCCTGATCCTTCGCCATCTCTGTCCGTAGGGAGAGGGATTGAAAATTTTGGGAGACTATTTTACTTTGCGCTAGGTTTTAGACTTCTACTTTGGCGCTAAGGGTTTTAGTTTGACCCATAAATGGTAAATTAAATTATACTAATATCTTTATAAATTTTATCATTTTTAATATTTTATTTTATGATATACCAATTAATTAAATTATGGGCGCATGACATATCATATAACCATATATTATATGCACTATATATATATATATATATATATATATATATATTCTTATCATACAATATGTACCATATGGTATGATTTTATCGTATATGATATATCAACAAAATAATGGTATATTTGTAATATAATTTAAGAGGCCATAATTACTTAAATAATTGTGCTAATTAATCAATAAAATTAAATCTTATATATAATTTTGCTATGAAAGTTTCTCATATATTGAGTTAAGAAACAAGGTGATATTTAGAATTTTAGAAAACTAATATGATCTACATATTTATGCTTACAAAACCAATATGATCTACATATTTATGCTTAAATAAACTAAATCACATTTTGATATGATTACTATTTTTTACAATTGGATGCGCGGGTCTTAGGCTAGTTTTAATCCAATTGTCTCTTATATGAAATTTTTTTTTTTTTTTGGTAATTAAAGCTTTCATTCACCGAGGAAAATATTTACAAGTAAATCAAACCCTTACATATTTACCTATCAAGCTAATTTATGTGACGACCCGGCCCGTCGTCACGTGAGTTACCGCCCCGTCTTCCCCATATTGTGTTGCCTTATGTTTCAATATCAGTATATGAGTTGATCGAGTTGAATTGAATTGGTTTTAGTTGGAAATGAGGCACTTAGCCTCTTAGAAGGGAGCTTGTTTTGGAAAAGTCAACCGGAAGTTGACTATATAGTTAGAGGGCTCGGATGTGAATTCTGGTGGTTCGGTTAGCTTCGGGAGATGATTTGTGACTTAGGAGTGTGATCGGAATTGAATTTGGAGGTCCGGTGTAGAATTAGGCTTGAATTGGCGAAGTTTGAATTTTGGCGAATTCCGGTTGAAAGGTGAGATTTTGATCCGAGGGTCGGAATGGAATTCCGAGAGTTGCTGTAGCTTCGTTAGGTGATATTGGGTATGTGTGCAAAATTTCAAGTCATTCGGTCGTCGTTTGGTCGGGTTTTTGATCGAATGTGAGCTTCGGAAGAATTTGATAAACTTAGGCTTTGATTTGGTGAAATTTGATGATTTTGGTGTTAACGGTAATGTTTGGATGGTTCGAGCAAGTTTGAATAAGGTAATAGGTCATATCTGTGCTTTTGGTTGAGGTTCCGGGGGCCTCGGGAGGAGATCGAGTGGTTGAACGGAGAGTTTGGAGTTTGTTGCATGTTTTGGAATTTCTGGTTCTGTCATTTCCGCATCTGCGGAAAAGAGACCGCATAGGCGGTTCCGCAGATGCCCATACGTCGCACTCGACAAGTAGCAAATAACAAATACGACTCAACTCCTATTCGCTCAAGCTAGGGTAGACCAAACACTTACCTTGGAGGTTTATGGCCAACTCAACCTTTAAGCAACACTTTTCCTTTCAAATTTGGCTCCAATTCAATCGTATCTATACACAATTGATTTAATATCATCAATAATACTCAATAATCCAATCCAAATGGCTAAATATATTTTCCTAAACATTCTGTCCGAATTTCAAAAATTCGACCCCGGGCCCGCTTGGTCAAAATACAAGGTTCAAACCAATTTTCGATTACCCATTGACGCACGAACTCAAATATATAATTTGTTTTAACATCGGACCTCAAATCGAGGTCCAAATCATGAATTTTTGGAAAACCTAATTTCTACCATGAAAATCTTTGATTTTAAGTTGAAAACATGTAAAAAGGTGTTAAAGATTGAAAGAAATGATTAAAAACCAACTTACAAATGATTTGGAAGAAGTCTTGTTCTTGAAAAATCGCCTAAGAGGGTTTGTGTTTTGAGAAGATGTTAAAATGGCTCAAAATTCGTCTAAGTGTGAAATATGCAGGTCTCTGATATGGGAATTGCGAACCCCGACCTGCTAAGTTGGGAATTGCGAAGAATCTGTTCGCATTTACGAACTCCTTAAATTTCCCAGGCGTCGCATTTGCGACTGGCCACTCTTCGCTTTTGCGAACGGAACGATCGCATTTGCGATCACTGTCAAGCCTGCGCAGCTTCGCCTTTGCGAAGCTTAACATCGCACTTGCGATGGAGGGCAGCCAGGGCGAATCTCGCATTTGCGAGATATTCTTCGCATTTGCGAGCCAGGCTTCGCATTTGCGAGGCCTGCAGGTCAGTTCTCACCAACAATTTCTTAAGTTCAAAAATGCATCCGTGGCCTATCCAAAACTCACTCGAGCCCTCGAGGCTCCAAACCAAACATGCATACTAACTCAAAAACATTCTACGAACTTAACTGTGCGATTAAATCGCCAAAATAACATCACAAACAATGAATTAAGCCTTAAAATCCAAGAAATCTTTCAAATTTTTCATTTTAAGGCCGAAACACGTCAAACGACGTCCGTTTTCAACCAAACTTTATAGGAAGCGCTTAAACAACATATAAGACCTGTACCGGGCGTCGGAACCAAAATACGAGCCCGATACCATCACTTTTCAATCAAATTTCATTTTCATTTTCCTTAAACATTTTCAGAAAACAATTTCACAGAAAAATTCTTTTCTCGGGCCTGGGACCTCGGAATTCGATTCCGGGCATACACCCAAGTCCCATATTTTTCTACGGACCTTCCGAGACCGTCAAATCACGGGTCCGGATCCGTTTACCAAAAATATTGACCGGAGTCAAATTTATTCATTTTAATATCAAACTTAGCAAATTTTCACAGAATTTCATATTTGAGCTTCCAACTACGTGCCCGGACTGTGCACGCAAATCGAGGCAATTATAAATGAGGTTTTCAAAGCCTCAAAAGCTCGAAATGGATAAGAAAACAAGTGATGACCCCTTTGGATCGTCACAATTTTGTTGCTTTGTGTTTCCTGCATCTTGCTTGCCAAAGCGACTGCACCCGACTTCGTGCAGGAAGTTGACTGACTTTACGATTTGGAAGAGTCTTTTCCTATTTTTTAAAAAAAAATATTTCAATAATAATGAATACATGAGGACGAATAAAGACTAAGGTCCAGTACTAAAAAAACATTAATATCAATATTGGTTTTCATCGATAATATCTCTATTTACATATAAAGATAATTAGTCAATCAAAAAAGATGTCAACAAAATATTATCGTATTGGGTCTGAGGCCGTAGTTTATTCAGATAAACAGGTGGTTCATCATTCAGAAGAGGGAGTATTCATATCCTTGCTTCCTTTGTTCAGTTATCAGTTACCATTTCAGTTATTAGTTATCAGTTATCATTTCAGTTATCCGTTATTATTTCAGTTTCAGTTTCAGCAGTTATCATTTCAGTCATCAGTTATCAGTTCTCAATTATCAGCCCAGTTTCAGTTTGAGCATTTATAGTTCTTTATTTAAGTTGTTTTACATACCAGTGCAATTCAAATATACGGACGCCCCTTTCGCCTGGGCCCTGCATCTCATGATGCAAGTAATGATTTACAGGTTGACGATTTAGAGCGTTAGGATCCTCGTACCAGCTATTTGGTGAGCCCCAGTTCTTTCGAGGCATTACCATTAATTTACAGTCTTTCAGTATTTATAGACAATCAATGGTTTCAGTACTTGATTAGAGGCTTCATAGACTAGAGTAACAGTTAGACAGAGTCGTAGGCTTTTCACGTTAAGCAATGTTAGTTACAGTTATTTTTCAGACTTATATTAATGTTTTCACACTTTGATTTATATCATTCAGACTTCCAGTATATCAACATGTGTTAGTTTATCTTCCGCATACAACATGTTATGATATCACATGTTGATTCGGTCATCTAGTTGGTTTGCTCGGTCATATGTAGTCAGACACTGAGTGCCGTATTACGTCCAGGACCAAGTTCAGAGCATGACAGAGTGCACCCGACTTCATGCAGGAAGTTGACCGAGTTTACGATTTGAATGAGTCTTTTCTTATTTTATAATATAAAAATAAAAAATAAAAAAAAAAGTCCAATAATAATGAATACATGAGGACGAAAAGAAACAATAAAGATTAACGTCCAATAACTAAAAAAACATTAATATTAATATTTGTTTTCATCGATCGATAATATCTATATTTACATCTAAAGATAATTAGTCAATCAAAAAAGATGTCAACAAAATATTACCAATATGTACAAGTTAATTCTATGTTATTATCTATTTGATCATATGAGTTACTAATTTCACAAATTTATCAATCAACTTTCTTTTAGTAGTCTGTACAATATGAAGCACGATATCTTTCTATTTGAGTAAAAAAAGATACGAACAGTATCACTGTCCGTTTGAACATCAACAATTTTATTTTAGTTGATCACGTATAATTTTATATGCATTGGACAAAAGAATTATACACCATATCTAGTAGATGGAAGAAGGAAAATTAAACATGGAAACTTATGACAAAACACCAACATCAAATGACAGGTAAAGTTAACAAAGTTATTTATTATCCACCATATTATATATGCTTTTGCCACAAGTACTAACATAATCACATAATAAATTTGTCTGAAAACAAACGAAAATTAATTCCAATAGAAGATTTTGATAAATATTTCAATAGTGCTACAAAGCCAAAGATCATCAAGGTGAAGTCATTTTTATCTAAAAAGTAAGATAAAATTAGATATACATATAGATATAATGTATATGTGTGTCTATACATGTGGGTGTATTTGTACATGTATTCACATATATTACATTATTTGTTACAAAAGAAAACATTTACAATAAATAAACACCTTTTTCTTGCTAAATTAAACTTTGTTTTGTCATCTTTGTAGGTTCAAATAATATTTTATTTGACCTTGAAATTAAGTCATCAACTATCCACATTAATCATCCATAGAAGCTTGTATTTTATTTTTATGCACAAGTACTTACTTAAAGCTTTAAGTTAAGAATATTAATATTATTTACGGCATTATATACTACAAGACGGTATATATATAGATGCAACGCACGTGCGAAAAAACTAGTTTAATAAAAATCAAACTCAATCTTACCGTATCAAATTTAATTTATTTGGAAATAACCCATCCATAAAACAACAAACTCAACAATTCCTTCTAGTACATCATCGTAAACTTAAACAAGACAAAGCAATTTAATTTATTTCCCTCAAGCAGAAATAATTTTTCTTTTACCGTATAAACCCATAGAAATCAAGGAAAATATATTCTCTACAATAATATTTTCAAGAACAAGCCTCTGTGCGATCATTTGTTGTAACGTCAAGCTTTTGGCCAGCATAAGTGAAGAAGACACCACTGTGTGAATAAATTGGAAGACCTCCATTAACGTCATAGATATCGTCGTGGGATTGGGAGATAACGGTAGTGTTAACTTTAACGGCAGAATCGAAATTGGGAATGCTTAGTGAAACATGAAGTTGAACACAGTCACATGTATTTTCCACAGTTGTATTCCACACTACTTGTCCGTTGACAGTTCCGCTAAGTTTTTGTTGGCTAATTACAATTCCAGGATTGCATCTGAAACCCTCATCAATTCCTGAAAAAGGAGGAAAATAATTAGCTGTATGTATTTCATTTGTTCTAATTCTTGAAATTTTGAGTATTTTCATGCCCATAAAGATTTCGCGAATTCAAATTTAGAGCTAGATAATTTAAATTAGGTATTAGTAACTTTTCAATTAATCATATGTCATATATTAATAATGGTAAGATTGTCATTATACAAGACAAAACATTCATATAAAAATATCACAAAAATAATATAAAGAACGAGAAAAATTAATTTCTTCTTTGAGTATTAATTGAGAGAGAGAAAGAGTGAAGGGGAGTTACTGGTAAAATTATATCTGTGTGACTTATAGGTCACGGGTTTGAGTCGTGAAGTTAGCCACTGGCCCCCTTGGGGTAGGCTGCCTACATCACATCTCATTGGGGTGCGTCCTTTTCTCGAACCCTATGCACCGAGCTGTCCTATTATTTTAGAGGAGAAAGAGAGCATGTGTGTGTGGGTGAGAGAGAGAATAAGAAAAGGGGTGAGATTAATACCTTCAGCAATGAAAGCAAGAGAAAGGACTAAGCCAAGGACTTTGATGAATGCTGCCATTGAAGAATTTTGTGTTAGTGACTCTTAAGTTTGTGTATTTCTTTACTTGAATTAATATGTTTTTCTGATGCCTAACAACTTCAAATTTATAGATAATTTATGTGGGGATGATTTAGGTACATAATGAAATGGAGGTTCTATGCTAGGTAAGTTTAAATTTGGTTTCCTATAGAGATGATTGAGTATTACTGTAGTATTTACCATAACAATTCTGCTGATTAAAGATTATCTAAAACTGCACAAAGAGAGAGATTTTTGTCAAATTTGATATTAATAAAATTACTTTTTCTGCATCAAGATGAAAACAGAAAAGGAGAATAAAAGAAAAAAGAGAATAAAAAACAATTGCATTCCTTTTTTCCCCCTTATTTCCTTTTGAAACTAGGTACCTTAGGTAAGTAGCATTCTCCACTAAAATTGTGAAGTCATTACCAAATTCTGCACATTAATATTTATGTAAAACTGTATGAGAAGAGAGATTTGGTCACACTTGATGGGTGAAAATGTAAGGGAGTTTTATCATTACCTAATAGGGGTGTTCTAACTGAACCGAAAAATCTCACCAAATGGAACAGTCACACCAAATTGATATTAAGAACTTGAACCAAATCAACATATAAATATATACTTTTAATACTTTATATAACATTTTCTTTTAAAAACTGTCTAGAAATATTTGTGATCCTCTAATGGGATGTAATATTTAATACAACTATAAAATGCATCTATTCTTATTTACTTTAGATAATGGTTGATTCTAACTTGTATCATCACTTTCTTATCAAGTTTTATTGAAATGCATCAACCTCTTTGTTCTTCCATAATTACAGGGGCAGAGCTAGTGTTCTGGCTGCGGGTTCGACGAATCCAGTAGCTTTGGTTCAAACCCCTATATTTGCCTTTGAAAAATTTACTGATTATTTGTAATTTAATAATGTAAATCTCAATAACTTAGAATACTTAGAATTTCGAACTCATAAGCTTGAAATCCTAACGTCGCTCTGCATAATCAGATGTCAAGATCTAACAAACTCTTATATTTTTTTGAATTTGAAATGATATTTTATCGGTAATTTTAATCGTATCAGTGAAGTTCTTATAATATACAAAATATGGGTTCAATTCCTACGTTTTCCCCCTATCTTTCTTTCTCGCTTATGACCTCCCCCTCTATGCCTTGCGATAATGATTCCTCTGGCATTACAATCTTTATCACAATGATGTTGTCCATAGATCAGACTATTTCGTGGATTGAATTTCACTTGGCTATCTATGATCCATGTATTATTATAAAAAGAAAAAAAGAAAAACAAGAACCCTGATCAAGGATATAAATGATATTTATGGTCACAGTAACACTTTCTGTCCCTAGTTCTGATTATTACAGGTAATTCTTCCATTTAGAACCAGAGGCGAGCTAGAAGGTCATATACAAGTTCAACTAAACCCAGTCAGGGGCGAAACTAAGAATTTTCCCAACCGTATTTAAATTTAAAAGAAGTGGAAAAATATACCGATAAGGGATGTTCAATATATTTATATATCTCTAAAACGTAATATTTTATCTATGTACACAGTGCAATTTTTCAATAAATGGTAATCTATTGTAGCTTTAGGTCAAACTCTGTATTTGTATTAAAAATTCTATTAAATATATACAAAAATTAAACTCAGAACCCGATTACTAAGATCTGGTATCATTACCCTAGAGTTTAAATCCCATAAAGTTCAAATCAGGCTCCGTCTGTGCTTAGAACATCCTTAACTTTCAGAACAGCAGATCAGCCAATCTGGTATAAGATCAAACATGTTGAAATTTGAGGTGATTCATGTTTATAAGCAAAAAAAACCATACCCATTTTGCCCAACCGAGCAAGATAAATAAAAAGTCTATCGGTGATCTGGTAGTGCTTTTGCCATATCTGTGGTGCACTTCTTTAGGATTGTTTGATGGGAAATAAAGCTCTTTAAAAATACACCCTTATGTTCATTGCTCAATGCACGCTGTTAAGTGGTGTTATTTAATAGCTCTGCATGGTTATATCCACAGTCAAAAAGTGCTGCTTAATGGGAGTGTAGTAACTGTACATGATACTGAGGAAATCACTATTTTAGAATAACAATCTGCTGATCCATGCTCTCTATTATATCTGTGCTCAGATGCTTATAATTCGGGTATCTGCTTGCAGTTCAGATTGTGTCCAAATAATAAAAAAGAAAGGCTTCTAATTCATGTATGCTAATAGGAAAACTTTAGACTCACATAAAGGCCATTCCTTTTTGTTTTGCCATCCTTGGGGGTTTAGGAGAATGCAGGTAAGATGAAAAGAGAGGGAAGCCTTCAAGGTAAAGCATCTTTTGTGGGAGGGGGGGAGGGAATGGCCATCCGATGGACTTGCATTAAAAGAACAAATCAACATATTTCTACAAAATTTGCAACTTTGCTACTAACAGAATTTACTTAGCTTCTGAGTTTTCCTAGTTGGAAGGATTAATAAACTATGATGCTACAGCCAGACCCTTTTCGCAGTTTGGATTGGAACAAAACTTGATTTTCCAAACTTAATATGGCACAACATGGCAGGTTATTGCAAATATGTGAAAAGATTCAAGGGGCTACAACCTGCTCTTCCTGCAAAGCAAGTGGTATAGCTGGTCTCCAAGTGGTGCCTTCAGGGCTGTCCATCAAAGCAATACCTACCACAGCCAATTCTTTTCGAACTGCATCTGATCTTTCATATTCTTTATTTTGTCTTGCTGTATCCCTCTCTGTGATTTTCTGGCGAACTTGCTCTTCAGTCAACTTTGCACGCTTCAAAGCTTTCTCCCTCAATTCATGCAAAGCCTACAGACACCAACAGCATGCTTAAGATGTGAGATTCCGTAATATAATTACCATCCAAAAGCTACAAAAAGTTGAATGACAAGTACATAGCAGTAATTTATAGAAGAGCTTTTGCATAAAATTCAGAAGAGATTTCATCATCTGAATAATGGTAAAGCACTTACTGTGAAATTTAAAGAAAACCAACTGAAATTGTCATGATAAAAAGAATATACATGGAGAGAGATTGATAATTGACATCACTTTATAAAATCATCCATCAATGACTAGATATTAAGATAGAATGGGAAAATGTCTAGAGAGTAAAATTGGAAGGAAAGTTTGATAATTCAGGCAAAATTAGAGGGGAGAAACGATTTACCCCCCTCAGTTATTAGCACAATCTGCAGATAGCAAGCACCAACTGCACCACAACTGAGACCAGCAATTCCTCAGTAAAAAAGTTACAGCTTACAAAATACAATGCTTATGACAGCAAATAAAATTCGCACCTCTTCATAACTGGTCGGCACAAGCCCCAGAATTTCCAGACCACTCGTTATAGTCTTTTCTAAAGCCGCAAGCGATTCTATTCGCAGTCCTTGCTTTTTACCCTGCAGCAAATTGGAAAACCACTGTCAAGGAAACCTTTGCCTTAAATTTTATCTAACCAGGAGATGCAAAGAGAAGGGAAGTTATACCATACATGTGCAACACATAAATTCTAGTAATATAGACACAAATGATAAAAATGGAAATTGGATCCTTGTAGTGTCTGGAAAGGATAATCTCAATGGCACCTATCACATTGATTTGGACATACAAATTATTTTTTTCTAATCAGTCAGATATATAATGTTTCTATAGTATTGACCGTAAAATTCACTGTAATTCTTCAACAAAAGAATTTAAAGTTCACAACAGAATCAGGCATTCAGGAGCTCACCATTGCCAAATGACCAACTTAAACTAAGAATAGATACAACTAACCAGCTCTTGATTTCAATTAGGCCTCTGTATTCAAAGTCCACGTGGCCTTTTGCTATGAATAGAAATACAAATGACTTGTGAAAAATATGCAGATGGAGAGAGTTAATCACTCCTGACGTCTATCTCACATGCCACCAAAACAGTGAAGGCCATAATGACATTTTCCTACACTGTACATTTGGCATACAAAAAAAACATTTGTATATGACGATTCGAGCAAGGCTATTTTGCGTTGTAAAAATATGTTGCTCTAACATCAATTATAAATTGTTCGAAATGAGTTTTTGGGGCTTCCTAAAAGAAATGTGGCAGGATTCTTTTGTTGACAAACCTTTGCTGTATCTGGCTTGAGGGGAAGTTGGACTTTTGAAGAAAATAAATACTATACAAGAACCTCTCATGTACAGGCAGCTCTTTGCATCCTTTTGTGGGTTCCAGACAGTCCTGTCGTGGTGATCTATCATTCACCTATCCACTGAGAATGTCGTATAGCCAGATGGTGGGCAGGTTAGCTTTCTCCTTTTTCTATACCTAGAAAGTTCTCTCACTAGCTTGGTTACACATGGCATATTATCAATTAACCTTTTACAATATTGTCACCGACTAACCAAGCACCTAATAACATCAATCTTGTAGAATAGTAGAGCTTTCAGGAGTTGCAATTATATGATCTTTCCAGAAAATTAGAAGGACCTCCCTCTGTGTTGTTTAGCAGATGATAAAGTATGTGCGGCCCAGAAACATGTCACTGTAGTTAACTAGGGACCCGTTACGTGGCGCAAAGAAACTGCTTTGATTATTGTCTGCACTGATCTAGTTGTCCGAGGCAAAGAGGATAGAGCTCAAAGTTCTAATGCGGCGGCCAAAGGGAAAAAATGTTTTTAACCTTTGAATTAATTCTACAACTAGCTGAAGCCGGTGAAAATTAGAAAGAAAAGATGAAAGGAACTTAATGACATGTTCATCATTTCTGAATGCAAGAAACTTGACTCGTCTTTAGCCAGTGGGCAATAGGCCATTGTGCTGGCATATGATTGATCTCCCAAAACTTTAGTTTGCTTTTTAAAATAATTATGCTAATGAGGGGCTGTAATATCTTCAATCATCCATCACTTTATATCAGATTAACTTTTAGAAAAAAGAAAACAATAAAAGCAGTTCTATAATACTTTTCCATGACAAAGCATTAAAGTAAGAATAAAGCATTAGTTACACCACCTTTCAACCTTTTTTTACAAACTTTGGGGCAGATGAGAGGATATTGATTGGTATTTTAGTTAAAGCAAAAATACCTTTCGAGTGTGTAAGAGATCATTGATCAATTTCAATGGATCCGACATAGCAGCCAAAGCAACAGGAGTGTGAAGATCATCTGACATCGAAACTAAAAATTCATCTTGGAATTTATTTATACAACTAGCAGTTCCTGCAGGAATGGAATCCTTCCGACTTGCCTCATCATACTGGCTGAGAACAATTTGACTATCATATAAAGCCTATGAACAAAGACAAGACTCGGGTTAGTATCTGTGCATTGGCCGATATAAAGATAAGTTCATAAGCAAACACCAAAAGTCACAGAAACAACTGCTCTCGGATGTCATTGAAACAAGGAATCTGAAAAAGGAAATTAGAGCTGAATTTGGACAGAAAGAGCCTTTTTGTTTGTAACAACGGAGTTCTTGAACTAAGTATTCTCAGTCTTTTGGTGTAAAGAAGCTCTTGTACAAGATGTAGACTCTCTCGTATATCTGATTGGACCCTTGTAGCTGTTACAAGATTAGTTTTTGTCATTCTTTGGCTCTTGTAACTATGTAACTCCTTAGCACAACCTTTGCGCTAAGGATTACTTTATTAACATTGAAATCCGTTACCTTCTCAAAAAAAAATATGTATTCAGTCTTTCTACTATCCCAGCCATCTGTTTCTTTTTTAGGAGACCTACATGCCCCGCAAACTTCTTTTCTTTTACAAGGACCAATCCACATACAAATTGACTCCTAAATGCACCTTATCACTTATTTACCATGCCAGGCAACAATTTTACAAAAAATGAGAACAAGGACAATTGCAGCATGACTGGTCACCAAAAAGGTTCATGTAAATTCACCAGACAATTTAGAGATTTAGAATCTAAGTACCTGATAGATGTAAAAAAGGCGATCAGATGCACTCTCAATCTGCGCGATCGTGTAATTGATGGGAGATCTATAGTGTGTCCCAATTAAGAAAAGCCTTAGGGCCAGTGGGTGATAAAGATCAATCACCTGAAGAAAGACAGCATAAAGCAATCTCAACTACAAGAAAGCTGAAACGGAAAAAACAGACAACCTTCCACACATTAATTCTGAAGGAAAAGCATGAGTGTCGTCCCCAGTCTACCTGCCGAATTGTAAAGAAGTTCCCCAGGGACTTTGACATTTTTTCAGAGTCAATGTTGACAAAACCATTGTGTATCCAATAGGTTATGTTGCTCTTCTTACAAGCAGCACAGCTCTGGGCAATTTCATTTTCATGGTGAGGAAATACAAGATCCATCCCGCCACCATGAATGTCAAAAGAATATCCCAAGTATGCAGCACTCATGGCACTGCACTCAATATGCCATCCAGGTCTTCCTGGACCCCAGGGACTCTCCCAGAAAGGTTCTCCCTCCTTTGCAGACTGCATGAGAATATAAAATTCTTAAATAGTAGCAGAGGTTGAGAAACATCAGCTTAAGTAGCTTATATGATTGGCAGATGCCCCGAATAACAGACTTCTATAACACTTTGGGAAAATGCAAAGGACTTTTGGAGGGGGGAAGATACACTCAGATGGCAAAAACATAGCAGTGGGATTTATACAGTTAGCTCACATACAAAGACTCGAATCGGATGGGACCTAAACTCAGTTTCCGGCCTTGGAAGCACATATGGGAAGTTAAGGTTCCATATAAAGTGGCATGCTTTACTTGGTTGGTGATTAAGAAGGCTGTTCTCACTCGGGATAATCTAAGGAAGAGGGTATACCTATTGTTTTAAGATGCTATTTCTGTGGACAGGATGCTGAGACAATCAGCCATCTGTTTCTACAATGCGAAGCGACTAGCCAGCTATGGGATTTGTTTATCAATCTCAGAGGTTCTAGATGAGTAATGCCAGGGAGAACTTTTGAACCTTTATCATGCTGGAATACAGGGACAAACTTTACCACAGACAAGGACAGATGGAAAATTGTCCCAGCAACTATTTGGTGGACAATCTGGAAAGAGAGGAATTCTAGATGTTTTGATGATACAAGCAGCTCTCTACAGAAGATCAAGATGAATTGTAATCTTCTTTTTAGTTTTTGGTGTTCAGACTATGTACCTGAATCAATCTTAGATGTTTTAAGCTCCTTGTAAGAAGAACAAGGATTGTATTTTTGTTTTTACAGGATGTAACTATTGTATTTTGGCTTCCAGCACAACCTTTGTGCTGATGATTTTATGAATTATGAATATACTGGATATGTTACCTTCTCAAAGAAAAAAAAACTCATATCTTCGGTAATCAAAAACCCACTGACTCAGTTACACTCTCCTATCAAAGTGTATGAAGTCGAAAAAAAGCAGCTCCAAAATGATTTTTGCACATCGACGCACAGGTGAAACAATTGGCAAGGATCACCAGATGGGAAAAGTAAAAAACAAATGGAGGCATTACAGGTTATTAAGAGGGTGTTTGGCTAAGCTTATAAGCTGGTCAAATTGGCTTATACGTACTTTTGGCTTATCTACTCGTTTGGTAAAATTAAAAGTGCTTATAAGTGCTTATAAGCCAAAAATAAGCAAAAGCCATAAGTTGGTCTCCCACGACTTATCAAATTTCAGCTTATAAGTACTTTAGGTTTGACCAAAATATTTACTATTCTATCCCTAAAATACTTCTTTTTAAAACAAAACTCTTCGTATACCAGTTCTTTCAGCTGCTTATTATTAATTTCGGCACTTTTATCCAAATACATAACTGCTTATTTTTTAAATCAGCTTCAGCACCTAAAAGTGTTTTTCAGCACACAATATTTATCAGCTACTCTAAATCAGCTAAGCCAAACGGCCTCTAAAAAGTTAATCTGTCAACAAGAGGGATTGCTCTGATGGTAAGCAGCCTCCACTTCCAGCCAAGAGGTTGTGAGTTCGAGCCTCCCCAAGAGCAAGGTGGGAAGTTCTTAGAGGGAAAGATGTCGAGGGTCTATTTGGAAACAGCCTCTCTATCCCAGGGTAGGGGTAAGGTCTGCATACACACTACCCTCCCCAGACCCCATTAAGTGGGATTATACTGGGTTGTTGTTGTAATCTGTCAACAATCAACCCAAACTCGGGATAATACAACTCATACAATGGTCATCCTTTTTCCTTTAAATAATGGATGAGGATCATCTCTAAATGACAGGAGATTGTTATACCAACCACAAGTAAACTTTCTTGCATATGAACTATTCAAAGAAACAGAGTGGAAGCTAGAATTTCCTGTGCCAATTCAACCATCAATTATTGCTTCTCTGTTACCATTCCTGTGGCAGAGAACATTGCATATGATTCTTTCCTTTATTTATAAAAGGCTGAATACATACGAAGACACTTAAAGTTGGCACGATTTTTCATTTAGACACCTGAACTTAGGAGTGTTCCTTATGAGCACGTACATTATATGAACTTTGTTCCAATTAGACACTTCTTGCTGAGTTGGCACATAGAGTGAGTTTCACCCAATATACGCGCGTGAAAAGCCCAAAAAATAGATTTTTTTATTTTTATTTTTATCTTTTTTATTTCCTTCTTCTTCTTCTTTATGTCCACCGCCATTTCCGCTATTGCCTCCTCCACTTTCACCATTGTTGTGCCTCCACCATTGATTTAGCTCGAAATTTTGAACAACCCTTCTTCTTCACACAAAAAAGCAGCCGCCAGCCCCTTCTCCAAACAACCAGCCGCTGCCAAGCTCCCCCTCCTCACCACCAAATCCTCTACCACCCTCCTCTCTAACCCCCATCGCCAGCCCCTTCTCCAAACAACCAGCAGAAGCATTAATTCTCTCATCAGGATAAGGAGTGTCCATCATCGCCAGCGACATAGAATGAACTCCAGCGACAGAAGCACCTTTTAAGCTACAACAAATAGTTTTGCCGGAAAATATAGGCATCGTCGGAAGAATCAATTTTCCAGTGCCGTTGCACGCTGCCGGTTCCGGCGCTTGAGGAACATTCACCACCAAGATTTGCTCCAAAAGATTAATCCATCCGTTGTTTCACCTAATGACATGTGGGATCATTTATCACAGCAAGGTAAACTATTTCCACCCTTCCAAAGGTTTAAATTCCGGCAGAAGTACTGGAAATTTTCTTCAAAATTTTTTTGCAGTGAAGGTGGTGGTGGCGCTCCACCGGTTTAGCCATAGCTAGTTCGGAAAAGTCGATGAAGGAGGCGTTTGAAGATAAAATTGATTGAAGCCCTGCGTTAAACGCTGATATTGATTTTGATCTCGTGCTACTATTTCTCCGGTACAACAACATTTTTGTTATCCAAAGCTCCTGCTGCCGCCAATGAACGGACAAATGGTGATGCCCCAGTTGAGAAAATTAATAGTTTCTGGGTGTAAATTATTTTTTTTCTTTTTGAGAATGTTATTTTATTTTGTTACTAAATAGATTTTAAAATAGTTTTTTCTTTTTGTTTTTTAACTCAAAATGATATTTATCCTTTATTTTATTTGTCATTCGCCACGTCAGCCGCGAGTGCACTGCACACACTTTGTAAGTTTGGCTAATTGTCAAAAAAGTGTCTAATTGGAACAAGTTTAATGTAGTATAAATGCTCAATAGGAACCGCCTTCAGTTTAGGTGTCTAGATGAAAGATGGTGCCAACTTTAAGTGTCTCCGGATGTATTCCGCCTTTATAAAATTGAAAGATTTAGAGGAAACGAAACTAGCATTTGGCATTTATCACATCATGAATAAATGTTAGAATACATCAAGACCATCAACAAATGAGCGTTTTTGCCTTAAAGAAGATTGCAGTGGGTAAAGATGTATGCTAGCACAATCTAAGAGTTCCTTTTTAGATCGAACTTGAGCTCTTCAAATGAACTTAGAGTTAATGAAAGATATGACTTTCCAAAACAAGTCATCTGAAGAGTATCCATTTAAGGGGTAAAGAGGGGAAGCCATTTGTTATGTGATGCCACCAAGTTTCTGAAACAGAAGACAAATAATTAGCTGCATTTTGCAAAAACTTGTTATAATATACAAATATCATACTGCCTAATAATTTCCGTGCAGGGAACTTGGGATTAAACATACCAATCTCTAAAATGCTTCGCAAACAACGTCATATCAAGAATAATCAAGTATCAATCAGAAACAGATGAAGTGAGCACGCACTAACCCACACAGAAAAAGAAACAAAAAATTCTAACAATAGAAACACATTGCATGATCACACCCCTTTCATATTGTTGCTTCCTTTTCCCTTATTTGCATTTTGCTTTGTTCTTTTAACAAGTGGATATAGTGAATGTCACAAGTTATCAAGATGTGCTCAAAATCCAATACACGATGCGGCCAAAGGTAACAAACTTAACGTGCATAATTATAAAACTCACTTTCCACAAGGCAAAATCAGCCGGATTTTTCTTCCTTGTGTCTACTGCCACCCGCTCCCCTGCTCTATTATCTTCCAATCTTCGCCCAGATAATTTTCCATATTCTGGAAATTTGTCTACAGAAAAGTAGACATCACCATTGATTGTATACGCACAGCCATTATCGAGGATCTGCGGCAGAAGCACATACGAACTGTTAAAGCTCCATAGTAGGGAAAAAGACAATTACGTGGCCCAGAAATCAAACCCAAAGAAACTTCAACAGCGGGGACTGAGGGGAAGACTAGACAGAAAAAGAAACTAGCTCCTAGAATGATATAACTGAAACTTGATGTTGAGTCTTATGTGCCATTTTTCCACATTAAGAAGGTAGTCACTCCTAGCTACTAACAAGAAGGTTTTTGCACATCTTGGAAACCATGATTATACATCAATCCATGATAACTAGTTTATGACCAAATATCTTTATGTCAAGAAAAGAGGAGGAGGAAATATACATACATACATACACACACACACACTATATATATATATATATATATATATATATATATATGTATATATATTTACACATTTATATTCAGATCTCTTACCCAGATTATATCTACCTTGTAACTGGGTTTATAAAAATCTAAACATGTGTTTATAAAGCTAATCTGAGATTTATCTATGTAATATCTGTATATATTGTGGGTTCCATCCATTTGCATTGCCGCAACTGGCTTATCCAACGTTTTGATTAAACTTGGTGGAACTATCTTTTTATTTATTATACACCTTGTACATCCGGAATCTACTAACGCTAATGTTTCTATTCGTGATCTTCTATTTTAATTCTTGCTAAAAATTTTTTTTATATATATATATATCAGTGTAATCCCACATCTGGGGAGGGTAGTGTGTATGTAGACCTTAGACCTTACCCTTAACTGGTGCAGGTAGAGAGGTTGTTTCTGATAGCAAAAAAACATAGCAGTTTAAAAAAAAAAGTGGTAATAGCTAGAGTACATCAAAGGAACGTCTGATATAATTTTGTACAACTGAACAGGAAAAACTCAACTAAAAGCAGCAAAAATAAGACGCAGCAAAAATAAGATTAACGCCACATAAACGGGGTTGCTCCCACCCCATAAGAGGCTACAACTTTTCCCAACTACTCAAGCCAAAAAAGTCATTACAAAAAAAGGCACAAACGATCAAGAAAGAACCTGCTGAATCATATCGATTATATTAGGCATGTGATCAGAGACACGAGGTTCCACTGAAGGAGGAAGACAGTGAAGATATGCCATGTCTAGGTGAAACTCTTCACAGAAGCGTTTGCTTAATTTAATTGGATCCTCCCTCAGTTCATTTGCTCTAGCAATAATCTGCAGAATTTGAAACTATTATACTCAGCTGTCCTGGCATACATATGAACAAGTAGTTGAAACCTTAACCAAGTTCCATGGCTACAAGAACCTATAGTCGTCAACTGTGACATGAATATAACATGAAAGTAATACTGGTATATTGGGTTTGAGATTGAATAACCAAAACTGCAGAAACTTCAAACTGCAATTTCTTTCCCAGCTTTATTGCTTAACAGAACATTAATGATTGCATTGATGTACATCCGCAAACCAAGAAGAGAATCTCTTCTTGAGTGGATAAGTTCACAGACTTCTGAACAAACAGCGATAAGAGAAGAGGCCTACTGCAAGATGCGAAGCGGCTAAATTTAAATAAAAATGGCAACGAACGAACTTCAATAGACCTTGAAGAAACAAATTTCTATGAAGAAAGTAAGATAAGTGGGAAAAGTTGTCACGAGGATCTAGCCTTTCTCAAAACATAATGCAGGCAATGGCAGAGAAGATAAAGCTGGAAAAAAGAACTCTTTAAAGAAAAAGAGTAGCTCACCTTATCATCAACATCGGTGAAGTTCCGCACATAATTGACCTCATATCCCAAATAATTCAGGTATCTGCCTAATATTCCAAAAGAGACAAAAGCAAGAATATCTGATTAGTTACTCAAATCAAACTTCTGGACAAACAATTTAGGAATCCACAAATAATAGATAGCAAATTTGATTTGGTTACCAAAACAACTAAGTTCTAAAAGGTTGAAATGAAATGACCTAAAAATCAATTTTAGTTTAAAACTCAAATCTCCCAGACCATCATCATGGAGGGATTAACAATTCTAGTCTCCCTATTTTTCTATAACAGCATGCAACTTACTTCACAGCAGCAACTTTCACTTGTACCAGATACTTTTCACCAGGAAAAAGAAAGTGTTTATCAACATTACTTTCAGTTACCTGCCTGATTTACACAAAAATACACACAGATACATACATATAAACATACACAGAATCTCACAATTTTACTATTTTACCAATTATAGCATATTAGTACCAGTGTGAGTCTCCCATACAAAAGGTAATTGAATCTCACTGTCCCATTTTCCCTTCCCCTGTCACCCTATTTAATAAAAGAAGTTAAAATAAAAAACATACACAGCCACAAACATGAAAATGTATTTTATATACTCACACACACACACACACATATTTCAATCTCACTCTCCTTTTCCCTTCCCCTTTTTCACTTCCCCTATCCCCTACGAAATAAAAGAATTAAAAAAAGCATACAGAGACACAAACACATAAGTGTTATACACACGTACTTATGCAGGTATGTTTATATATGTGTATGAATGCGTGTGTGTGCACGTGCATGTCTTTGAAATTTTACCTACAAAGGTCGGGAAAGGGTAATCTTGTCCCAATTGGTTGGCTATGTGAACATTCACCTCGTTGTAGAGATTAGATTCCACACCTTGTAATCCCCTTCCCTATTTCCCCTTTAACTTCCCACTATATATAATAAGAAAAATTAGAAAAAGAAAAAAACAAAGGTTGGGAAAAAAAAAAAGTAAAGATGTTCACTTTATGACATAGCTTACACAAAAGATTAGGACTTTGATATAGAAGCTACAAGTTTGAAATTGTTACCAACAAGATGTGCACTTTCTAAATCAAATCTTAGTAAAGTTTAGGACTTCAAACAGATATTGAAAGTTTGAAATTTTTATATACAAAGATGTGCATTTATAAATCAAATTCTAGAAAATATCAAATTTTGGTATAGAGCCGAGAGGTGAGAACTTAGGTGATTCCCTGCACAGTTGATGTATAATTGTACTTTCCATAGTAAATAAATAGCGCCAGAAATTCGTTAAAATAAACATATTAACACTTATGTAAGAAAATAGAGGGGGTTATTGGGAGCACCTATAAAGAACATCAAAGCTAACATAAACACGAGCATGGCCGATATGGCTGAGGTCATACGCCGTTACACCGCAGACATACATTCCAACTTTTCCCGGAACTTTTGGTATAAATAGTTCCCTTTGTTTGCTCATTGTGTTGTGTAACCAAAGTTGTTGTTTCTTCAATTGAGTTTCTGTTCCGTCGCCGTCAACGGCGGCGCCGTTACTCTCCGTTAAATTCACTTTATGGTTTGAATTTCCTGCTGTACTCAGGCACCGAACCCTCGGTCGGTTTCTGGCGGCGGCAATGAGCGTTTTAAAGTTGTGGAAGCGAACTGGGAGAGGCGAGAGGCGGGAAGGTACCAATGGTTTATAGAATTTTAACAACGTCGCCATTCAGAGAGATGAATACGACGGCCGTGAAGACGACGACAGAGGAGGAGGAGGAGGAGGAGGAGAGCCGGTGGCCGCCGATTTGCGGAAAAGCTTCGCTCTGAGCGAGTGGTAGTGCTTTATCCGCAATTACATTCTGTATATTAATGTTTCGACCCTTTTTAAATAAGGGAAGTTCGATTTGCCCCTGTAGTATGGGTTATGTACACATTGATAGCTAAGACTTAAAAGTTTGCCATTAAAGAAGTTTAGGATAGGCTGAATTAGGGGGTTCATGGTTAGGTTTGGATCGATTTTTCCCTAAAAAGAAACCAAATTAAGTAAGTCGGTTTTTTAAATATTAGAACCATACCAAACCAAGTAAGTCGATTTTTTCTCGATTCAGTTTATGTCGAGTTTTGTCGGTTTTTCGGTTTTTTCTTCAATATAAGACATATACTTTCAAACACATATTCCGACGACCACATGTTCAACGTAACACTATCATATAAATTGCCCTTTGAGAAATCTATTATTTACTAAAATATATTGATGATAATTGAATCAAATAGTAATGAATAATTTAAGGACTCAATTAAATATAAGTGTGTGTGTGTGTATATATATATATATATATATATAAGTGTGTGTGNTATATATATATATATATATATATATATATATATATATATATATATATATATATATATATATATATATATTTATGAAATGGATTCTTACACTTAACAAAAGAAAACTACCAATCAAACTAGAATATGAAGTATTGTACTAAAAGTGCAAACGATTAATATTTACCATAAATATTTCGAGACTTTGTATAAAAATATACATATATATAGGTGTAATAATAAATTTGAAATAGCTACTCCTCTAGTTGGTTTGGTTCGATTTTCTTCGATTATTTTTTTATTAAAACCAAAACCAAACCAAATTAGATCATTTTTAAAATTCAAAACTAAAACCAAACCAAACCAAAAAGTATCGGATTTTTTGGTCGGTTTGGTTCGATTTTTCGGATTTTTATGAACACCCCTAAGTTGAATACATAAATAGCCCCTTGAACTTGTTAGATTTTTTTCATTTAAATACTTAAACTAAGTCTTGTTCCTATTAAGCACTTAACTCTAATCCAAATGTCACTTGGGTTGGGTGAGTTCCACTAGAATTGAGCGCGGGGAAATTTATTCTTTTTTTTTTAAAATCCATCTCCTTTGTCCTCTCCATCGTCACCACTACACATCTGCCGCTAAAGGGCGGACCAACATGGAATCAAGCGGGTTCATATGAAACCGTTTTATCGAAAAATTATTTTGTGTATATAGGTCTATTTTATTTTTGCCTAAGACATGCACTCATAATGTTGAACCCACTTGACCTAAACATAAGGCACAACTTACGGGTAAAGTGGGTTCATTTTTTTTAAGAGATCCTGGGTTTGAAATCAATCAACAATAAGTAAAACTATTTTCCAATATAAACTACTTCTATATTAGTTGGGAAATGAAAATCTACATCTTTTTTTCTTTTTTCTTTTACCTTAAATGAAATTATAATCTAAAAGAGGTATTCCTAAGTTGCATGTTTTGCTTTTCTTCTTTGAGGTGCAAACCCTATTTCTTTGTATATTACTACTTCATATGTTTGAACCTGTTGGTGAATATTTTGGGTCTGCCACTGACCGCATCATGTTCCTCTACTAGTAGCCATTTATTTGAACCTCCTGCAACACACAAACAACTATGCAACCCCAATTCTACCACCACTTTCATCGAATACGATTTTGGGATTGCATCACAACCATCCAAAAATACACTATGTTTGGCTCAAAAGTTATCAATATACTTTGTAAGCTTAAAAACAATCAAAAATAAATGAGGGTAAATCGTAATCAAATATAATAAAACCTAGAGATAAAAGAGATGAGATTATTGTGATAGATCTGATAATATGAACTTGAGAATAAGTGTTCGTTAGATGTAGAGATAGAGAGAGAATAGGAAAAAATCAGAGAGTTGTATTATTCGAGAATAATAATGATGCATATTTACAATGTGAAGGTCTCCTTTATATAGCAGGAGGCCTTCCTCGAAATAATCATAAAAGTACAAAAAGTAGTCAATGTCCCCCTAGTGAGGACGCTGAGTTTTAACTAGCGTCGCCTTTGTCCCCACGCCCAAGTCGTACCCTTGCTTTAGTTGATGTATGCTCAATGGGCGTACCCATCGCGTAGAGACATTGAGGGCCAAATTTGACCCTATACAGTTAGTCCCTCCGCTCGTTGGAGGCGTATTCGATAGACGTCTTCAATGGGAGGAAATTCAAACCTCGTCTTTGGAGAATTTGACCTCACCCTTGGGGCGGTAACGTGAGTGAGATGAAATGTATGACATCGACGAGCTGCCGACGCGTGGCTCGCTTTTTGAAATGATGTCATCGCCCGCATGCGTCATTATTACACTTACTCCCGAGGCGGTTCAGAGGATGATGTGATGTTCTGGTTTCCCGCACCCGTTTTGAATCATGCCTCTTCGATTTCTGCGCATCCTAACCCTATAAATAGGGGGAAGGTTCAATCCGTTTCATCTTTCGAACCTTTGGAAAACCTTTTCTGGCTTCCTTCTTTGCCTTTCTTTCTAGCAACCGTTATTTCATGCGAGACTCTTCCACTTCTTTGAAGCCACACTTCTCGTCGTTAGTGCTTTGTTACTTACATAGGATAACATGACAAAACGTCATCAGAGCAGTAAAAAGACCAAAGATAATGCCCCATCTAGGGTTCCGCCCTCCTCTGGTGGCGAAGAGGAGAAAGCAAGAAAACCCCTTGCTCCACTTACTGTAGACAACGTCCTCCCAAAGGAGATGCATGTTCGAAGGGATTTTCCAACTAAAAGCCCAGCCCTTCCCTGGGAGTATAGTGATTTGTTGCAATCCTACCTAGACAATCTTCGAGCGACGCACCATATTCTGGACAATATGGAAATGGCTCCGGCTGGGATGGAATACACCAATGTGCACCGGCCTGGGTACTGCACATTTTACGAGTACCCATTTTTTATCGGTTATAGTCTTCCGATCTACCCTCTAACGGAGGAGCTTTGCCGCTTTTTCAATGTGTGTCCGGCTCAGCTTACTCCTTACACCTTGAAGGTGTGTAGGATTCTGACCACGTACGCGGCCAAGGCTGAGTGCGGCGTCTTAGTTCATCACCTTTTACAGTTGTTCAGCCCTGGTTACCTGGGGGGCACCATGCTGCAGTTGAAAAGTCGTGGCACGAAGGGCTTGGTTGTGAAAGCTGACGACAAGACCAACCGCCGCTTTTGGCGTAGGTATTTCTACATCAAGACGGAGCACCTGGTGTCTAACCCTGAAGGGTTCCCGGAAAGATGGAACCCAGAACGTAAGTACCTTTATTTGTAGAATTCATGATTACTTGCGACCTTGACCATTCGGCCACTGTGATTTCTTTCTTTTCTCTTTTTTATAGCGAGGGATTCTCCACCCCAGTTCATTGACAATATTAAATCGTGGATGGAAAGAATGATACCTTATGCGGAGGAATGCCGTACCTGGGCCGCATTTCGTGAACGATACGGCCCGTCAGGTAATTCTTTGGATTAGGTTTGGAAGTTCCCTTAGGTTTTGTTACCTGACTTACTCGTGTTGGAAGGTCGGAGTGCCCTTAAGAAGAAGAAAAACGTTGTTACCTCGCCTAGGGCGGGGACTGACTCTGAGGGTGGAGACATACCCTGCGGCTCGTTCAGTGATGGCGCTCCCGAGGTTCCTCAGCAGGAGGCTGCGCCTGTGGAGGCGTCCGCAAGTGAAGCGACTCCTTCAATGCCATCCCCGAGGCCTGTGGAGGAGACTTCTGAAGGTGAGGAGCCGCCAGAGAGAAAAAGATGGCAGTTGATAACAGGCAAGGGGATAGCCACTGAGGACGAGAGGGCGAGTGAGCCCCGTCAGGGGTCGAGGCCAGTTTTTATGGCCGATGCCATCCGTTCTGGGAGGTCGGCTCCCCAAAGGAGGGCTGTCGCCGACGCCAGCCCAGCCCGCATTCCAGAGAGTGGTTCGTCGGCTGCTGTTGGAGAAGTGGGCGACGGTGCCGAGAGGGTGGACCCTGAGGTCGCCCATGTGGATGCAGAGGGGTTAACGAGGGGTCGGACCCGTATGAGGATGACGGCAGGTAGATCCAACCGTCGAATTCTGATCCCAGAAGGGTATAACTTGTTGCAACACAGCGAGCAGGCCGCATCGGATATGACCCTGTTATGTGCGGCTGCTGAGCGTGAAATGCTGACAGGTGTTAGTGACGGGGATTTATCCCGGAGGGTCACTGGCGCGGCCTTGCAGGTAGTTTTCAGTTTTCTTTGTGTGCCGTAAGGCTAACTTTGATGCACACTGACTTGCCTTTCCTCTTTTTCTTCTCCTTTTTAGACTCTCATTTTGGAGGTAGAGAGGAGGCGGCGAGCGCAAAGGAAGGCAGCCACTTTTAATAAGATGGCAAAAAAGTATCACCGGTGCCGTGCCAAGCATCGGGCGCTGGCGGACCTACTTAAGCAGGACCCGAAATTTTGGGTGTTCCGTGAGGGCCTTGAGCAGTCGGAAGCCCAACTGAAATGGAGGGTGGTCGAGCTGGAGCAGGTTGATGAGCAGCTGATGGCCACTTTGGCTCGGAACATTGAGCTGGAGACTCTTCTCCAGTCGAAGAAAGAGGAATTAGAGGTTGGCCGTGGGGTAGTGGTGGAAGCTGCTGATTTGCGAGCCAAGGTCGCTGCCTTGATCGCCGAGCTCGACACCAGGGCGGCTGAGATTAAGCCCTTAAGCGGACTGCTGCGCCAAAGTCTGATGAGGATGCGCATCGTGAGGCGCATGAGATGTGGGTGTATGCCGAGGCCAGACTAGTCGTGCTCGAGGAGTTCTTAGCTGCGGGTCGAGCTACTGAGGCGGAGGTTCAAGAGCAACGGCGCATAGCTCGCGTCGCCCGCGAAGCCTGTGGGTATAGTTCCGACTCCCCAGGCAGGGTGGGCTATCATTCCGAAGATGTTAACCGTCTAGGATCCGGGTCCTGGATCTCTGCAACTTATCAACCCGGGGCGGCAATGGACGAGATGGCGGTCAGGCGGGGGACGGTGAGC